CAGTATCACTACGGAAGTAGGATTGCCCAACCTTCCTTCCGAGGAGTGGCTGGTGGGTTTGAACCGCCAGCCTTCTGGTTAGCAGTCAAGTTCTTTAGCCACTATGCTACCAGAGCTCCTACTCTAACTGTATCACATTAAATATCATCATGTATGCAAATAAAATAAAAAGTTTGTTGATGGCAGGTATTTGTCATTCTACTGTTTCCTCCAAAGTGTCTTCCACAGAGTAAACAATGAAGAACTCAGTAACTCTAGCTGACTCATTTTTTTTCATTCATTCACTCACTCAAGCATTTGTTGAGTGCTTATTATATGCCAGACACTTTACTAGGAGCAAGACTTACAAAAAAAAAGACAGTTCCTGCCCTTCAGGAGTTCACAGTCCAGTGAAGGAGACAGACTAGTAATGGTGTGATATTTGCTATGATTAAGGGAGCAAAGAAGAGGGACTCTCAGACTGGGAGAGATAAGGAAGGCTTTCTGGAGGGACAACTCTTGAGCTGAGTTTTGAAGGATGAGGATGAGTTAGACTGGGGGCAATCAATGTGATTGTTAATAATCAGTATTTTGTTAGATGCCTTTGCAGTATTTGTTTATTGAATATATATCAGGACTATTGACTCTTTTCAGCAGAAAATGTAGTTTTTTTTAATCTCCTGGACCCAGAATGCTAACTGGAAAGGGAGTATTTTAAAAAACTGGAGCAATGAGTCTGTACACACAAGCATGTATTCTTGACACTGTGGGAGAGAAGCTACTATTAGCACTTACTGGCCATACCTCTCCTGTCACATAGAAATCCTCCTAAACTGAGGGGGAAAAAAAGCTCTATTATTTGTGGCTACCAGTTTTGATGGACTGTGTTGGGTTTTGAGGTTGACTTATCTACCATATTTGATCAGTTGGGTGGGTCCTTGAGCATGATCCTAGGCTATTTCAACAGACTATTTGACTCCGTTTAGGGGGGTATAAGGAGCTCTGGTGGCACAGTGGGGAAGGTATTTGACTGCTAACCAGCAGGTCAGCAGTTCAAACCCACCAGCTGCTCTGTGGGAGGAAGATGGGGCAAACTACTGCAAAGTAGTTACCCTATAGAGGTCGCTATGAGTCAGAACTGACTCAATGGCAGTGGGTCAATCTTTAAATAAACTTATTACTGAATTCATTTAATCACGTATTCACTTTATTTGATTATCCAAGTGAAAATATTTCAATTTTATTAAATTAGGAGTGAGGGACAGAGCAAGTTGATACATACAGTGAATCCCAAACACTAGCATCTCAGGCTCAGGGAGCCTAGAATACATGTAGATCCAAACATTCTAAATGGTTTACAAAACAGCCTCCCAAGAGGAAAGTAATGAGGGCAAAAACAACTCACGTAGCTTCTCTAAGATCTCCTCATCTGTCATCTTGGATTTCTTCCTTTGCCGATCTGTGTTTCTATACAAAGTACTGGAATTGGCATTTTCAGCAGAAGGTGGTGTGACCTCTTTATTTGGTGCTGCTGGTGAAGCAATGGATTCCACCACGGAACGAGTGTAGATCTAAAAGAAATAAAATTCCACAGTTAAAAGAGCAGGTCAGGGAAAGAGAGTACGGAGTCAAGGCCTTGTTGCACCAATGTATTTTTAAAAAGAAAAGTGGTTTTCTATTTAAAAAGAAGAGGAGGAAGAGGAGGAGGAAGAGAAAGAGGAACAACAACAACAACAACAACTTTGACTTGCTTCACAGGCATTGCCCTTGAAAGATCTTGGGAGCTAATTCTGGTCTTAGTGCCTCTGCTTCTGCAGTTCTTCCTACCTGGTTCACATGAATTTGCTTCCATTCCTTGACTTCTGCTGCAGTTTTATAATTTCAAATTTATTTATACATTGTTTGGTATGATTCTCAAATTGCTCCATGTACTAATCTCATATCTCAATCAGTAACCTCCAAACCAGGGTGGTGTCTTTTACTGTTATTTCTAGGAACATACCAAAAAACCAATCAAACCAAACTCACTCCCGTTGAGCTGGGTCTGACTCATAGCGACCCCTCCTTGGGTTTCTGAGGCAGTATCACTATGGAAGTAGATTGCCCAACCTTCCTTCCGAGAAGTGCCGGGTGAGTTTGGACCGCCAGGCTCTGGTTAGCAGTCCAATGCCTTAGGCACTATGCCACTAGAGCTCCCTCTAGGAACATCGTAGATGCTTAATAGTTACTGTTGAGGAACATTTTCTGAATCACTAGGAAATAATCCCTTGTGACTTACTGATTTTGTATGCTCCGGTCTTGGTGCAATAACTGGTGGCGGTTCGTTGTCATCTTCTTCTTCTTCCTCTTCTTCATCTTCTTCTTCAGACACAGGAGGAGCCAAAGGAGGCTCTGATGCTGTTTTTGTACTCTTATGGCAAAAACAAAGTTTAAAGACCAGGTATTAACTCCTCATGTATTTTTTTCAGAATTGAGACAAAGGAAATGGATAGGGACAGGAGGGAGCTGCATTTTCTGCAATGCTCAGAAACACCTGCAATTAAGAGGTCAGGACCTGCCCCCGCATTCAGAGATAAATTCAAGTCAAGGTTTAAAGCGCCATGAAATTAAAGAAAGGTTCTTTTTAGTTTCCACTGAGCTCAAACACAGTCAGCTATTTGCTTAATATTTTAAAGTTCAATGTTTTTGAAATAAAAAAAATACATTTAAAATATCAAATTCTTTGCTGTTAAAGGCTTGAAATGGTACTGGGTAGATTGTCACTTTTTTGATGACACTTAATCAATTTGCAAAGGGTTACTTTCCGTTTAAGGATCAGAATATATATATATATATATATGTATGTATGTATGTATACGTATAGATATACTCTGCAAATACTCACTGAGTAAAAACTCAGTGCCATCAAGTCGGATGCGACTCATAGTGACCCCTCCTTGGGTTTCCAAGCGGTATCACTATGGAAGTAGATTGCCTAGTCTTCCTTCCAAGGAGTGCCTGGTGCATTTGAACCCCCAGCCTTTTGCTTAGCAGTCAAATGCCTTAGCCATTATGCCACCAGAGCTCCTCACTAAGTATTAGCAAGCTCATAAATGGTTGCTCCCTGCTTAATCCAGTTGCTGGTGAGTCAATTCCAACTCATGGCGACCCAATGTGTGTCAGAATAGAACAGTGCCCCACAGTACTTTCAATGACTAATTTTTCAGAAGTAGGTTGCCAGGCCATTCTGCCAAGGCTCCTCTGTGTGAACTCTAACCTCCAACCTTTTGGTTAGCAAGTAGGTGCCTTAACCATTTGTACTACCCAGGAACTCCCATTTCTGCTTAGCTTTCTGGAAAGAATCACCCAGGAAGTAACAGATTTAAGGCATCAACTCACTGCCGTCAAGTCGATTCAACTCATAGCAACCCCTCCTTGGGTTTCTGAGGCAGCAACTCTACAGAAGTGGATTGCCCAATCTTCCTTCCGAGGAGTGGCTGGTAGGTTTGAACCACCAGCTTTCTCGTTAGCAGTCAAATGCCCTAGGCATTATGCCACCAGAGCTCCTGATACCCATCCATCCACATAATTACTCAATCTTAACAAACAAGTAAATGGCAATTTGCAATGTTTTATAAACTGCAACAGCAACACCACCAACAATAATGGCAACCCCCAGAATATCTAGGGTCAGTTCTTGATCATTCATATTAATGCAGGGATAAAAGAGTTCCAACATTGGGTTTTGAAAGAACTATATAGCGTAGTGCCTATGGCACTTTACTGTTAACCAGAAGGCTGGCAGTTCAAACCCACCAGCCACTCCTCGGAAGGAAGATGGGATAATCTACTTCTGTAGTGATACTGCCTTGGAAACCCAAG